TTTTTTCTACACTTTTAGGTGTATTTTGTGCAAGAAATTGCAATAAAATAGTCCGCCTAAGAAAAATTTAATTTTTTTGGGAACTTTTTTATTTTTTTGGATTTATGGGTTGACTGACTTTTTGGTGGTAATAGGTGTCTTCCTTTACTCGGATTTGGCTATCGATTTTTTTCTACACTTTTAGGTGTATTTTGTGCAAGAAATTGCAATAAAATAGTCCGCCTAAGAAAAATTGAATTTTTTTGGGAACTTTTTTATTTTTTTGGATTTATGGGTTGACTGACTTTTTGGTGGTAATAGGTGTCTTCCTCTACTCGGATTTGGCTATCGATTTTTTTCTACACTTTTAGGTGTATTTTGTGCAAGAAATTGCAATAAAATAGTCCGCCTAAGAAAAATTGAATTTTTTTGGGAACTTTTTTATTTTTTTGGATTTATGGGTTGGATGACTTTTTGGTGGTAATAGGTGTCTTCCTCTACTCGGATTTGGCTGTCGATTTTTTTCTACACTTTTAGGTGTATTTTGTGCAAGAAATTGCAATAAAATAGTCCGCCTAAGAAAAATTTAATTTTTTTGGGAACTTTTTTATTTTTTTGGATTTATGGGTTGGATGACTTTTTGGTGGTAATAGGTGTCTTCCTCTACTCGGATTTGGCTGTCGATTTTTTTCTACACTTTTAGGTGTATTTTGTGCAAGAAATTGCAATAAAATAGTCCGCCTAAGAAAAATTGAATTTTTTTGGGAACTTTTTTATTTTTTTGGATTTATGGGTTGGATGACTTTTTGGTGGTAATAGGTGTCTTCCTCTACTCGGATCGGGCTGTCAATTTTTTTCTACACTTTTAGGTGTATTTTGTGTAAGAAATTGCATTAAATAGTCCGCCTAAGAAAAATTGAATTCTTTTGAAAGTTTTTAATATCGAAATTTGCTTTAAAGGTGGTAAAAGGGGTCTTCCTCTACTCGTATCAGGCTGTCAATTTTTTCTTACACTTTTGGGTGTATTTTGTGCAAGAAATTGCAATGAAATAGTCTGTCTAAGAAAATTGGAATATTTTTGGGTAGTTTATCATTATTTTGAATTATAAAATTACATTATTATAATGTTTTAAAGATTTTTGTATAAGGAAGTGGACCAATGGGATGTTGGTAGCGCATATTTTCTTGTGCGTGTTTTGCTAGTAATAATATTATTATCCTAAAATAATATATGCATTGAAATAATGATTTTATAAATCACGAAAAGTTTAATTGGAATTTATGTTATAAAGTACGAACTTTATAAAATTTTGTGAATTACAAAATTTGTATATGTACAATGCACAGTTTTTGGTTCGCTGATTACGAATTTAGCATCAAAATTTAAAGTTGATATATGGCGGATCTAAATGTAAAATTTTTTTTTTTAATTTATCGGATTTGCTTCAAACTTGTTATTTGGTGGTTTTTGGGTTCGCTGATATTATTATATTAATTAATATATTGAAATTATTACAATATTTTCTTTATTCATTTATTGTTTATTATTAAGTATTATTCAAAACATTTTAGTTGTATTTTTAATTAAAAAAATTGTTTTTAAAAAAGATTTTAACATTTAAACAAATATTTTAATTTGAAGCATTTAAAAAAGTTTAATCCACTGTATTGAATTTATCATTTGAAATTTAAAAAAAATCAGTTTAAATATGTAATTAACGATCCTAAAGTACCCCGTGTATTAATTTTGAAACAAATCCGATAAATTAGGAAAAAAAATTTTGTATTTTGAATCCGACATTTTGAAAATTTGATGCCAGATTTATAATCATCAAACACAAAAACCTTCGAGTGACGAGTTTCGGGTGAATCTAATCAATTATTTAAAAAACTGTCCCTATTTTGAATTTTAAAAAGCGGATACCAGATTCGTAATTAGATACTCAAAAAACCTCGGGTAACAAGTTTGAAGCATATCCAATCAATTAAAAAAAAAATGCCATTTTGGATCCGCCATTTCAAATTTTCAAAATCTACGTTCTGATGCGTAATTAGGGACCTTACAAAATTTTAGGACCATTTCAATTATCGATACAGTAATTCCTCAGTTCTCTCTACAAGAAGAGGGATGTAATAGGTATTTATGCTATTTATAACCTCATTAATTCAAAACCAGATAATTTAAAGTTATTTTTTATGGCAAGTTACGAAAAATTGTCTCATATTGTATTTAAAAAAAAAGGTTCTGTTAAGGTGTTAGACCACTGTGAAAATTTTGGAAAATCGAAAAAATTTTTTTTTTTTTATAAAAAGTTTCCTTAGGGTGTTAGAAATAAGATATCTTAGAAACGTACGTGTATGCGTTTACAGCTTCAAAACAGAAAAAACGTAGTCTCATTTTTGTTGCAAATCAAAATGAGCCGCCTACACGGCTCATTCTGAGTTCATTTTTTTTCTGCCAAGATCACATTCTTTATGGGAGTACGTAGGGGGGTTTATTTATTAAAATTTTCTTTTATATTAACAATTTTGTACCGATCGGTTAATATTACCGGTAATATTACCATGGGGCGGACATTTTAATATTATACAGTAATATTACGTGCTACTTGGGTGTGCATAAGAAAAGGGGTTTTGTGGATCGACTGTCAGCGCCGCAATTTAAATTTTTTTATCTTTTGAAAATAATTTTTTAGTAGTATAATATGCGTACTTAACAATAATATATAATTGATTTTTTAATTCATTTTATTTTGTTATTGAAAAAAAATCTTAAAAATTGGCCTAATTTTCGGTCTTCACAGTGATAAAATGGTAGCTTCCATATTTTTAGGATTATAAATTTTTTATTTTTACTACTTTCTCCCTATTTTTCCTATTTTCTGTAGAGAAAAACTTATACTCTAGAAAAAGATTTATCCATTTATGTCGTTTCTCTTTAAAATTCTATGATTTTTTTAAAAGTGAGTATATAACATTAATTTGGTCAATTTGAATATAATATAACCTCTTCTTCACTAATCCTTTTATCAATGTTTTTCTTAAAAGACTCTGTAGATAGTTATTTTTATTTTTTATCTAATCTATTTGGAACCATTGTATATACAGTAGACTCGTCCTCGTATACCTGCCCGGCTACGAAATTTCGTCCCGGCCAGTTCCCCCACTCTGTGGCCTACCCCTTCGTCCGTAATGGTGAGAACTAATAATTTTGCAGAAGCGTTAAAGGTCAAGTCTTAAATTTTTCTTATTTTTTGTTTATAAGTAAAATTACAGGTCTTAAATAATTTTATCAATTATGAATTAGATATTTTTATCATTTTTCAAGATATTTGCATTCCAAATTTCTTGACATTTCTTTTCACTTGATTACAACTTCTTTTTTTTCAAAATTTTAAAAATATGTTACTTATATTACATATTACATATATTAAAATACTGAAAATCAACATTGATTTATAAATAGGGTCATTCCATTTTATTTCACCTATAGTCGTTGCGGCCTATTTTTAGAAAAATTTGGTATTTTGTATTAATGACTTTTAATATCCGTACAATTCATTTTTGACAATTATTTTATGAAATTTTTTTTATTTACATTGTAATTTAGTTTTTAAGTTGAGTTGCACGGAAAATAGGTTAGTTTGACAGCTTTGGAAATTTTACAAAAAAAAAAACAGAAATAATTTAGTTATTAAATTTTTTTTCATTGATATTTGTTTAAAATAGTCTAATTTACCAATGTTAATTGATAATTGTGTAAAAAAGGTCAAAATACTACGTGAAAATTAATATTCAAACTTACCTGTAAAATGTCAAAATTTGTCACATTTTATTTATATTTTCCAAGAAAGTTTATAAATTTTATAAAATGTATTACTACCTAACAATAAGTACTTTTCATGTACTTTCACATGATATGTTGGCTTTTTATTTTTATAATATAGAAATATGTGAAATTTTACCTTGAATGTTGAACTTTTCAGGATTTTATCTGATTTTGAACACTTATATCTTCGCAGGCGATTAATGAAAAAATCCCATTTTGGTATTAAAATTTAAGTTAAGTTTTCTTTATTCATCTTATCAAAATTTGGTGATGGAGAACGAGCTACTTTTTATTTTTATTCACAGTAAACTTGGTTGTATCTTTTTCTATTGCAATAACGTTTTGATGCACATAAGTTATATCAAAAAGAGATCGTTTTGTGTATCATTTTTTGATGCAAAAAATTTAATCAATTTATATCAATCATGGCCGAATTGAATCGACTCAAAATTAAACGAAATTTTTTTCAGATATTTTAGTAATAGTACAATTGCGGAGACCATTTCACTATTTAATTTGAAAATGAAAATAACAGAAAATCAAAGACAATGTGCAATTCGATAATTAAAAAGTGACAGCTTATAAACATAACCTAAAATGCATGAGAAAAAATTTGTCGATAAAATCAATATAGCCGAGCTTTTTAGAAGGTAGATGGCAGTTTTGCTTTTTATAAAAACGATTGTCAAACTAACCTATTTTCCGTGCAAATCAATTTAAAAACTAAATTTCAACGTAAATAAAAAAAAATTTCATAAAATAATTGTCAAAAATGAATTGTACGGATATTCAAAGTCATTTAATACGAAATATCAAATTTTTCTAAAAATAGACTGCAACAACTATAGGTGAAATAAAATGGAATGACCCAATAGATTATTTAAAAAATTGATATTTTTTAATTCTTATTTTATTAAACATCAATGTTTTTGACATAAAAAAATTCTTAAACTATATTTAAAAAAGTTTTAAAAATAAAGAACGCTTCTGCAAAATTATTAGTTCTAACCATTACGGACGAAGGGGTAGGCCACAGAGTGGGGGGACCGGTCGGAACGAAATTTCGTCGCCGGGCAGGTATACGGAGCGGCGAATTGTGAATCGCCCCTTTTAGCTATATGTACACCTATATAGTGTTATACATAACAAAACATTTACCTGCCACCTAGTGGCGAATATCGAAAACCTTTAACGAATCCGGTGCTGTAAGCGGCGCACACATAAGTTGCACTGCACAGTACGGATTACGGCATGGGAAATATTGTGGTGTGTCAGTTGTGTTTAATGGTGTTACATTGCAACGCAAACAAAGTCATATTTACTGTCAGTAATAAAGTGTTAAAAGTAATATAAATGTGAAATGTCTAACGCTAAAGTTATCATAGAACTTGAACAAAATGATGGAACTTATGCACCTGGTGATAATATAACTGGCTCAGTATTGATTCGACTTGAGCGAGCAACAAAATGCAAAGGTAGAAAGTTCTTATCAAATTATTACCTTGTTTCCTTCTTGTGTATATGTATATATATAGTTTACCAAAGTAACCGCATTGACACAAACATATTCATATATGAATGAAGTTGGGCATCATATTATATATTTACAACAAAACACAAAATGTAATGTACTGTATTCCATTCAAGGAACAAAGAAAATTCACACATAATATTATCAAAAATGTATTGTCAGTAATAAATATATGTAATATATGAAAATTTACATAAATATTTTAATAAAAATACCCTTTTAGAAGTTTTTAGGAACTACAAGTAAAATTACGATAACATTCCTTCAAATTGATTTTCCGATATTTCACTTTGTGTGCATGATGCCAAGTTTAATTTTGTTTCACTCTAAAAATAATATACAAATTTTAGTTTAATCCATTTTTTTTTCGTATAACTATTGACTATGTTGATATTTTTTTTTTTTAATCTATATAGTCAGAATTTATATATATACGTAAAATGTAAGTGATAAGAAATAGAAATAATAAAAATATTTAATTATTGAAAGAAAAAGATAGTAAAATTATTTTATTTATGCAGAATAATATAGAATGATAAAATTAAATTAATATTTAATATTTTTTAATATAACTATCTGTATTAAATATTCGTTTTATTGAAAATAAAAATATCTGTAACGAATTATTTACTTTTATCATAAATTTAAGTTATATAATTATTTAATAAAATGTAGGAATAAATTAAAAAAAATTTTAAAACATTTATTTAACGTTATTTATTTAGGAGTTAATTATAACCTTATATGAATTTTAATTTGAAAATTTTATTTTTAAATTAAAAAAATTTACTAAATATAAATTTCCACGGTATTTAGTGCCAAAGTCACAAAGCTGTTTATGCAATTTCAGTAATTTTGAACATGAAGGGCAGTGGGAAGAGGGGAGGGGGTGGTTTATTTTTATTATTCGCTACCGCACAGCTAAAACCCTGAGAGTCTCTTGTGTGGGACCTTTGGCTTCTTTGTTCAATGAATCACGTATATTTCTTGACCAAATGCTTATTTATAATTGACTGATTAACTAATAATTTCTTGAGACGGGAATATGTGAAATTTAGTATTGACTTTCTTTTTTTTTTAATAAAAAATTTGTTTACACGAAATTTAGAATTTATTTTTATTGTAATAATTTAATTTAATTTTAATATAATAATTAGTTAATTTTCATTTATTAATTAATATAATTAACTAATAATTAATTAACAGAATTCACTAATAGTTAATTATTATTTTTATTATTTGTAAGTTATTTTCGCGTAGTACATAAATATATTTAAAACTAATTGTAAGTATTTAGAAAATTTCATTTGCATAAATTAAATTAAATATAAAAATAATAAATTATTAGAAAATAATAATGTGAAGTTATAGTACGAAGCTGAAGTACGTAACGTTTATGATAAACGATTTTTAAAGAAATAACTTTTTAAAATGAAAAATTCTATAATTTATTGATTAATAAAAACTACAAGAAATATTTTTTAGGCAAAAAATTATAGAATTTTTCATTTTAAAAAATTATTTCTTTAAAAATCGTTTATCATAAACGTTGCGTACTTCAGCTTCGTATAATTTGAGCTTTCTTGAAAAGCTTATTAATTTTATCTCATTTTTTTCCAGAATGTTCTATAGTTTTTAAAATATTTCCCTTGAAATAATTAGTTACAATGAAAACTTATTTTAATTTGTTATGATAATTTTTCAATAAACGATAGTTTTATTTAAAGTCACGTAGAATATCTAAAGCAAAGTGAGAGATATCTATAATTTTTTTTTTTTTTTTTTTTTTTTTTTTTTTTTTTTTAATATTTATCACTAAATTATTTTTTATTGTAAAGTTTTATTTGGAGAGTGAACTTTTTTTCTCCAAATATTTGACCTTTTTTTTGTAACTGATTGCTTTATGAAATAAAAATATACAATTATTAAATAATTAATATAATTAATAATTACAAAAACAGAATGTAGTTTTTAATTTAATGCGAAAAAAAATGATAATATATATATATATAATTCATAATTTAATTTCTCAGGAATCTCAATAAAAGTCGAAGGTGTATGTTCCGTTTTATGGGTTCAGGAAGAAAAAAGAAAAAATGTTTATGGACGTAAAGAGAAATATTTACAAAATTACAGTTCCGTCGAAACGTATTTTGATCGAACTTTTTATTTAATAAGAAGCACCGACAGTAAGTATAATGAAAAAATTTATGTAATTAAAAAAAAATGAAATAAATAATTTTTTACATAAATTTATGTATTTTTTTAATTTTTAATAAAAATTTGCATTAAAATACATTTACTTAAGATATTGAGATTAAATACAATTATAAAAGAATTAATAATTAATTATTTTGCGCGCTTTATTTTCATTTTTATTAAAATGTAAAATTAATTATTGTGTACACTTTTTTTTATCTATTAAAAAATAACAAATCATTTCCATGTATTTAAATTTTTTTAAACTAATTATGTACGTATAATTTAAATTTAATGAAATTTTAATTATTTTTGTTTAATCTTAAAATTGTATTTTTTTTCTATATAAAATAACTTTGAAATTTTAAAATAAAAAAATTCACTTTTTTTCAGACGATGATGTAAGACAATTGCCTGCTGGAGAAAATCATTATCCATTTAATTTTGTCTTGCCACAAAATGTACCCTGTTCTTTTGAACATAAATTTGGAAGTATTTTATATTTCATTACAGCTACTTTTATTGAAGTTACTGAAGTATTTAATGATGCAATTCTATTAAATCCTTTTGATAAAGTAAAATTAAAAGTGCTTACGCCATTTAATTTGAATCAAATATCACGAGCAGCGGTAAGCATAAATATTATCCACTAAGCTTATAAACTTGTAAAAACATTTACAAGTGTATATTTATGGTTCATTACATGAGAAATTTTCATTGAAAAAATGAATTCTTATATATATGGAAGAATTTCTTCAGAATTCCATATGAAAATTAAAGAAAACACGTATATTCTTTTATTTTGTTTCTTGATGAAAATTACAGGCCTCGGATTATAAGATTTTTCGACTTTTTCCAACTTTTTTTGGACTTATTTTAATAAAATGTGACTTTTTCGACTTTTTTTACAATTTTTTAACAAAATTTAAAAAAAAAATACGGGTTCGTTTGAACCCATTTATGTTTTCTAAATAAATAAAAATACGTTTTTTTAAATATACAATGCAAATCTTCTTCAGATCTTTTTTATTTCAATTATTTAACAAATTTTCAACTAAAATTCTTCACTAAATTAATTATTTTTAATAATTTTAATGAAATTTTTCACAAATTCAATTATCTTAAAACTATTTTGCAATTAAAATTTTTATGAAATTTAATAATTGTTTATAATTTTAAAAAAATTAGCAAATAAAATAAACAAAATTTTTAAATTCAAAATCACTTGAAATTTAATTATTTGCAAAAATTACAATTATTTTTAATGATTTTTATAATATTCTTCGAAAATTTAACTATCTAAAATCATTTTTTACTTAAAAAGTTTTCAAATTATTTTATTTTTGTCTGCAATTTCTAATAAATTTTTTAGTAACAGAAATCATCAAAAATTTTAAATTAAAAATCACTTGATGTTGAATTAATTTCAAAAATCAAAATTGTAAATCTGTGAAAATTAATTTACTTTTAAAAAATGTTATCTAAAATTATTTAATAAATTATTTTTAGTTCTATAAAATTTAATTATTGTCTAAAAATTAAGAAAATCTTTTGAAATTTAATTATTTCTAAAAATTTCAACTTTAACTCTCCAAAAATGATTATTATTAAAAAAAAAAATTTTTTTATTTAAAAATCTGTAAAACTTGATTAAGTATTGCCTGTAATTTTTTGACTATCAAAACTAAAAACTATGACAACATTTTTAATTCGAAAAAATTGCTCAAATCAGACTTGAAAAAATTATAAAAAATGGAACTTTAAGAATTTTTTTTAGAAATTTGTCCTACTTAAATAAAATTTAAAAAATTTATCTTACAATTAGTTCGATTCTGAAATATTGGAAATAAATTTTCAGTGTAATATTTTTATAGAATTATTCTCATTACAGAATTAATAAAATGAATTTAATATCTAATAACATTAGTTATTTAAAGTAAAATATTTATTAACCAATTAAATTTTGTTAAAATAAAAAAAAATCGACTTTTTCTGGAATATAAATTGACTAAAACGACTTTTTCTGTGCCTTAAAGTAGATCCGACCCCTGAAATTATTTTTAAATAAAATTTTTCGATATTTTTGGGAAAAAAAATGTAATTGCAACGAAAACATTTTTTTAAAAAATTGAAATTTTAAAAAATACATCTTAATAGTTTTTGTTTTTCGAAATTTTTTTTTTTTATAATTCAATTACTGAGAATTTCCATCAATAATTTAGTCACGATAATTAAATTTCTCCGTAACTTTTTTTAAAATTATTATAAAATAAAATTTTTTCTTTCCCATGAAAATAAAAATGTGTCCAACAGATTTTTTGATTTTCTAACAAAATTAAAAAAAGATATACATCTGTTTTAAGCACCGTGACACACGGAAGAAAATTCAGTTATTCTCGTGGAAATTCCCCACTAATAAAATGAGGAATTTTTCTCTAGTTTATTGTAAAAGTGCTGTTAATAATCTTTGTATAGAAAATACTAAAGTATTAGATATAAATTAATTTTTAAATTTACATTATACCTATAGAATTTGAAAAAAAAATGGTTTCTATTAAAAATAATTTTTGAATGAAAATTTCAAATAGAATTTCTCTCACACATTTAATTATAAAATGGAAAATTATTCTTACATTGTTTCAAGAAAATTTTTCGACTTGTAATTATTATTATTTGCTAAATTTAACTATGGTAAACGACATTGTTGATTTGTTTAGTATTTCAGTAGTATAAACGTACAAAAATTCTCCTAAGCGACAAAGTCGTTTACCTAAGTTTTTATTTCGTACGGCAGAGTATGTGAATCTATTTTAATACCAAAAAAAAAATGTCATTAGGTTTAAGAATACATTAAGAATAACCAATTCTTATTTACCTTAAAGATTCATTTTGTAATAATTTCTTTCAATAATTTTCTAAAGAAAGACAATTTGGATCGACTCTTAATATTGTCTTTCGAGTCGATTAAATATAAATTAAGAACAGAATCATTACAAATATAATTAATGCAATTACCATGCTTATATTAGTGACAAAGGGATTAATAATAAATTCTTTCTATTACTTAGTATTTCTATAACTGTTAAATTATTGATTGCAAAATTGAGACGAATGAATAAATTCTAAAAATTAATTGTTAGAATTTTCATTAATAAAATTTTATTAAATTTATAATTTTATTGAGCCGAATTTTCATTAAACCGATTTTCTATATTACAGAATTTTTAATATAACCGAAAATTCACTTCACAGAAATTTTATTTGTTCGAATTTTTATTTATCAGAATTTTTATTTGCTCGAATTTTCATTTAAGTTAATAGACATTTTATTAAATTTTTATTAGATAGAACTTCATTGTATAGTATTTTTTTTTAGATGAATTTTTATTGTTTTGAATTATTATTTGCTAGAATTCTGTAATGTAGAAAATTGGTTTAATGAAAATTCTGCAAAATAATAATTCAATAAAATTCAGCTCAATAAAAATTATATATCTAATAAAATTTTATTAAATGAAAAAATTCTAAAAATTGATTTTTAAAACTTATATTCACGCGTTCCATAAAATTTTTAAAAAATTGAATCTGCCTTATAACAATAATCAATAAATAAAAAAAAATAGTATTTAATAATCATGGTGATGATTACTATTATATTTTGATTATTGTTTTAAAGGAAAATAACTGTATTCTTTTTTTTTTCTAATAATTAAATGTTTTTTTCTCAGGTTGGTATTGATGATGAGGAATACCAAAATTTTAGCTGTTTATGTTTTATTAAAATGGGCTCTTTACACGCTCGAGTAAAAACACCAATTAGTGGATTTATTCCCGGTCAAACAATTGAAGTTACTGTGAGTTTCTACAATGATTCATCCTCTGTTGAAGTGACAAAAATTAAAGTTGCCTTAGAAAAGGTGAGTATTTTTATTTTTAAAATTTATATTTTCATTGTCTCTTGGAGCTTAAAAATCGTTCAAATTTTTATTTTTTCAAAGATTTTTAAAGAAACTTTTGAAAATTCCAAAATTTTTCTATTATATCCAAGTTCTTAGTTTTTTTTAATGCAATTTTATAAAATTAATTTTTTATTTTCAATAAATATAACTGTTTTTTTAGATTCTCAAATTTCAAGCAACCAGACCTAAAAATAAAATAAGAAGCGAGCGATCAATAATTGGCAAAGATAAAAAACGTGGATCGTTTGGAGATAAAAATGAAGTAAATCTATTCATAAAAGTGCCACAGGTCCTGCCTTCTAATTTAGTTTATTGTTCATTGGTGGAAATTCAATATCGACTAAAAGTCAAAATAGTCACCTCTGGAACGTAAGAGCCGTTTTTTTTAAAATAAATAAATTATTTACTAATGTGTACATTAGAGTTGTCTAAAAATGTACAGAAAAAAAAATTTCCCATATTTTCCTCTGAACCTTAAAATTTGTTCTAAATTGAAAAAAATACTTATAAGTATTTTTTTATGAAATCGGAAAATATTTTGAGGTTAATTTGGATTTTTTTTTTGTACCACCCTAATGTATATAAATTGGAAGAATTTATAATAGTAGCAATTTAATGTGAGTTTTTTGTTATTTTTATAGACACGGTAACATTGAAAAAAGTTATCCAATTTTAATTGGAACCACGCCGCTTTATACAACTTCAACGGCAATTGTACCTTTAATTCGGGTTCAACGTGCGCCATCAGTTGTTCCATCGGCACCGGCGATAGATTCAATTGTGCCAGTTCCTCAAGCAAATATAAGTCTTAACAATTCTTCAACGAGTCAACAAGAAACTCCAATAGTTAATCAATCATTTTCTCTAGTTCATAATATTCAAGAGGAATATCAACCAATTGGATTTGTCTTTACGAATCATTTAAGTCATTCACAAAGCTCCTCAAGGCAACCGGAGACACGTAAGTTTTTTTTTTTTTTTTTTTTGTTGAAATATGAGTAAAAAAAAAATTTAATTTAATTATATTTCACCTGAAATCTTTGCGCGACAATTTTCGGGTCATCAAAATCAAATCGCATCGTTAAAATTTTTTTTCTAAAAATATACCTTTCCTATACCTATTTACTTTTCCTAAATTCTCGATGAGTTTTGTATTTTTCAAACGAAACAAAGTTCTCGATTTTTTTTACCATAAATTATAATTTTTTTAAAATTCGAAAATTTTTTCGACTTTATTTGAATTTTTTTTTCTAATATTTTATATCTTCTTGATTTTTTTATTATTATAAATTCTCGTTTTTAAAGCGATTATTCCCTAAAAATTTTCATTTTTTTGTTTGCAATTCGTAATATTTATTTACTTTTACAAATTAATTAGAAATTTTCAATTTTGCCGCAATTTCTCTCGTTAATTTGAAAATTTATAAAATTTTTGATTTTCTCTTTTTTCACACTATAGGGTCAGCCGGGGTAAATCCGAACGCTAATTATTTCAGCTTAATTAAAATTTTTAAAAATAAGTTCGATATGAGAATTTTTACCTCAGATCCTCTTGAAGAGATTCTAAGTATTATCCCATTTTTCGTTTGTTAATTAGCAACAGCATAAACAAAGATAACGAGTATTGCAAAAAAGATTGAAAATCAAAGATGACACTCTTTCAGTATTTTGTCTCGTATTTCAAGAAAAAGAAGCTAAAAATTTATTTTATTATTTATAATTGTTTGTTATGAATACTAGAACAGATACTATTTTTCATTTTTGCCTTCTGTAAAATTTTATTAATAATATCAGACCGTTCGTATTTACCCAGGAAAATTGGAAAACCGGGGTAAATCCGAACGGTATTTTCAATAATTTTTTTTTACATCAGAGCCACACAAAATTGTTTTTATTTCATTACACTATTATTTTAACATTATAAAAGTACATAGAAAAAAGTTTTTCTTTCTATACGTATCCTCGTTAGTAATTAATAAGCAGAAACTTAATCTCTGTTCTCTCGAAGGAGTGTTTCAATTTTTTTGCCAAATGGTTTGTTGAAAAAAGTTTTTCAGGATCTTAATAAAATTTGGTATTCTACGGTTTTTGGGGTCGCTAATTACCAATTTGAAGTCAGTTTTTCAAAATTCAAAATGGCGGACGAGAATTAAAAAATTCATTGGATTCGCTCGAAAATTGTTACTCGGGGGGTTTCAGGGTTAGCAAATTTGATCATTTTTAAAAATAAGTTTTAGGAAAGTCCGCCATTTTGAATTTAAAAAATTTGACTTTTATTTTTGTATTTACATTCAATCACTCCAAAATACTTTCTGTAGCAAGTTTTGCAAAAATCCGTTATGATTTGATAAAGTTATTGAAGGTTTTAATTGTGTAATGCATTTTAATTTTTAACCTGTTTGATTTTTGTATTTATATATGATGCATTATTACATAATAGGTTTATTATCGTATTTTTTTTGAGTTTTTATATAAGTTTAACAATTGCAATACTTTAAATTTATTTTCCCTAAGATTTTTCTGAAATACAGTGGCGTTCGTATTTACCCCCATATTTTAGGAAAGTTGCAAAGTATCGAGGTAAATACGAACGCTAAGTTTCCTGCGATTGTAATTTATCAAAAATTTTTGCTACCCCATAAAATTGTTCTATGGAAGTAAAGTAACAACTTCATGCACCAGAATACCGGAAGTATTTTTTTTTTTTAAAGAAAAAACTTATGTTATTGTTGAAACTTACTAAAAGCGTTCGGATTTACCCCGGTTGACCCTACGTATTTCCTTAAATTTAATTTCTGTTCATTTTCTATAAAATTCTCATGTTTATTTATTCTTCAAATCCACTTAATTGGAATTTCTAAAATTATCTATTTTTCTTTCAATTTCTTTGACTTTTTATTTTTAAAAATTTTTAATTTGCTTTCATTTTTCTAAAATTCTCGTTTTTTAAAACATTTTTTCTCTATTTTTATTTTTTGAAAAATCCTAAAATTTATTTATTTAGTATTACAAATTGGCCCAAAGTTCTCAATTTTCCTGATGACAAATACTCCTTTCATTTTGGGAATTTCTAAAATTTTCTATTTTCCTTTCTCAAATTGTTGTATTTGTTTTCTTTCTCAATGTTTTTTCTCATACTGTTCGTGTTTTAAATTTTTCCTTTAAATTCTCCTTTTATTTTAAGAATTCTTAAAATTTATCTATCATTTAATTTCTCAATTCCTGAACTGTTAAATGCAAATTAATTTGCTTACGCAAGTTTTTAAAATTACAATAAAAATTTACAATTGTCAATAAAGAAATTGATATTACTTATGTATATTATTATTATTCTCATGCCCTTTTTAATACATTTGTAAATTTGTCAAATCAACCTTTTTTTCGTGCAACTTGCTTTAAAATTCAAATTCCAAGGTAAATATATATAAAATATTATTAAATAATTGTCAAAAATGAATTATATGGATAGCAAAAATAATTGTTACGAATTATAAGATTGTTCTAAAAATAGACCGCAATGATTTTAAGTGAAATATAATGAGCCTAAATTTTTTTTTTTTTAATATAACTAAAAATTGTTCTATTAGAGAGTAAAAATAATTATTTTAATTTTTCAGCTCCACCTTCTTACGAAGAATGCACGTCCAACACGTAAATTAGTTCCTCCATGACTATATTGAAAATCAGTAGTAAATTGATTTTTAAAATGTGATAAAACGTAGTTAATAAGTATAAAAATATTTCACAAATCATCGATTTCTGAGAAAGTTTATCTTCATCACAACTTTTAACCATATTCAAGAAGATTATAAACTAGAAAAAGAAATTCTAGAAAAAAAAGTCTTCAGTCACAAAAAAAACATATCAATGGACAATAAGAAAAATTCATGACTTTGTCTATAAATAGCACATTTAAAATTTTTTTTCAGATGTATTTTTTTACATCAATCGGCCTTTTTTCAAGGCTGCGTCTTTGGCACTATCGAATGTATTCTTTTTTTACATCAAACTTTATTTTTTTGTTGATCTTTTTTGACACACCGTATTCACTTAAATGTTTATATTATCGATATTAATCACCAACTGAGATTGATTGGTAGATTTTAGTATTATTATTTTATGTGTATTTATGTTTAAAAATTTATACTTTTATATATACACCTTATACAAGCCACATCCATTCCCCGATTGGAAAATTGTTACTAATATATATATATATTATAAAGCAAAGCTACAAATCCCAAATATAATTTATAATATTGTATTACCGAATCAAGTGGTATGATAAAAAAGCTTAAAAAAAGGAAAAGTACATTTTACTACATTCAACATTAGATTTAAAACAAAAAATTAAAATAATAAGACTGCTTTTTTGTTGTACCACAATTCAATAGCAATGATTCTATGTCATATGTTTATTGTATATTTATTGTGAAATAAATATTTATAAATAAAACAAAGACTAAACTCTTAAAATATCGATTTGCAACAATTTATTTCTATTTAGAAGAATAATTCTATTGATCAAATTTAATATTTCGAAGTAAAATACCTTCATCAAATTTTAGTAGCAATTCAATTATATTATTAATACAAAAAATACATATCTACAAAATCTCAAATTTTTCAAGTACACCAGAAAAAAGTTACAAGCTTAAAATTATTAAGAAATTTTTAACTAAAATTTTTCTTTAAATTAATTATTTTTAAAATTTTTAATGAAATTCTTCATAAATTTAATTATTTTAAATTATTTTTCAATTAAAAATTTTATAAAATTGCAACAATTTTTTAAAATTTAATAAACAAATTAACAGATAAAATTACCAAAAATTTAAATTTAAAACCTTTTTAAATTTGTTATTTTTAAAAATTTCAATCTAAAACTTTTTGAAATTTAATAATTTCAATTATAACTCTTCTGTTATTCAATTATTTTTAATGATTTTTATAATATTCTTGAAAAATTCAATTATCTGAAAGCATTATTCAATTAAAAAATTTTAAAGTTCAATTCTTGTCTTTCATTTTTCATAAATTCTTCAGCAACAGAAATCAACAAAAAATTTCAATTTAAAATCACTTGAATTCAATTATTTTCAAAAATTTCAATTTAAAACCTTCTAAAATTTAATTATTTCTAAAAATGTCATCTGTTACTCTTCCAAAATTTAACAATTGATTTTATATGATTTTTATCATTTTTATATTTTTTTAATTTATCAAAAATTCAATTATTTGAAAGTATTTTTCAATTGAAAACTTTTGATATTCATTTTTTGTCTGTAATTTCTAATAAATTCTTTATCACCAAAAAATTTCAATAAAAAATCACTTGAAGTTCAATTAATTTCAAAAATCTGAATAATACATCTTTAAAAATTCAATTATTTAAAAAAGTTTCAAATAAAATCTCTAAAATTGAATTGTTGTCAAAAAAAATTTTTTTTTTAGAAATCTGTTCTAGTGTCAGTTGGGGTAAATAGAAACAAGGGGTAAATCGAAACAGTAGTTATTTCAGTTAAATAAATACGACTTCAAACCTTAAACCTTAGATCATCCCCAACAAGGTTTGAGGCCGTATTTATTTTTAAAATTTTTTATTTAACTGAAATAACTACTGTTTCGATTTACTCATTGTTTCTATTTACCCCAACTGACCCTACTTAATTAAAATTTTTAAAATTTACGTCTTCGATTCCGAAATATTCGAAATAAATTTTCTTGAAAATATTTCTATAGAATTATTAACTAATTAAATTTAATTAAAATAAATAATGGACTTTTTCGACTTTTTTGGAATGTAAATCGACTACTAAAATCACTTTTTTTGCGCCTTAATTCGATCCGAGGCCTGATAAATATAAAAATTTTGTTAAATGCAAAATTTAGTTAAATTAAATTTTTTTTATTGAAAATTTTGTCAAACTTCCATCGGATTAAGGTCATGTGATTGTTGTGATTTCTCACATGTAAATATTCTCCACAGATTTTCCCGCAAAATAATTGTTAGATTGAGCTAAAATTTTTGTGGAGAATTCAAAAATAGTATTAAAAATAGTACAATTAACATTTTGACAAAAAATTTATTTTTAAAAACTTGAATGCTTGAAGAAAATTTATAATGTCGGCAATAGAATTTTAGTCATTTCTTCAAATATGCAATTTTTGAAGAATAAATTTTTTGATAAAATATTAATATACTCTGGCATATGACAACGGATTTGAATTTTTGAGTTCTACACACAATTTTATCTCAAAAAAAAAAAAAAAAAAAAAAATTCTATTAAATATTTTGCGAGAAAATCTGCAAAGAATGTTTAAATGTGAAATCACAAGTCACATGACCTTAAATGAAAAATGCTTTAAGAACAAATTCGATAAATTAAAAAGTCTATGAAATAAAAATTGTTTTAAATAACTTTTAAAACATAATTTATATTCCTTAAATGTTTTTCAAGTACAAAATATAATTATTTATTTCAAATAATAATTTCATTTCCTTGAAAACGGTGCTAACTCTTTTTGTATCAAAAAAAGTAATTTAATATTTTTTTAGTAGCGAAACAATGGCATGTAATTATTATTTATGAAATATATATCACTAACCTTAGGTTGCAAAGAACGTTTTTAAATTAAGAAATAAAAAACTTTTTCTAAAAATTTAAACGATCGCGATTTAAAGAATTTCGAACACTCCCGGAACAAAAAAAAACAATAGATTTAAATTACATGTTTAACACTGACAAAATTTGCTTTTACAATTACGAAATATACACTCACGTTGACCATGTATCTAAACAGGTCTAAACACGAATTGCAACTGATTTAATTATCTTTGAGATTTCGCATCCCAAATTTTTATGACCTTTAATTTAAGGTACCTTTTGTACTGCAATAAAAACAAACAGCTCGCAATGCAAATGTAAACATAATTTCAAAATCACTTCGAATACTTTGAAATTATAAATAATATTTCAATATTTTTACACTTATGGAGATAAAATAAATAAAATAAAAAAAATACTCTCAGAAAAAATTCACTAAAATTTTTTAATGCATTGGTTTAATATTTATTGATAAAACAGTTGTTCTATTCCGTTCAAAAATTAATTATACATTTTATTTTCAATCCTTAAAATATTAGGTTATTTAAAAAAAATTATAGAAATTAGTGGGGGTTAAAATTATGATATTTTCAGTCAAATTCGTTTTGGCGTCAAAATCAAATCAAATTACATAATCGATACTCAGTATTAACTATGAAAATACTTAATGGATGTTAATTTGTAAATAGGGTTCTTTTAAAGCATTTTTCATATAGTTTTCAATACAAAAAAAATTTTTTTCTAAAAAAGAATATTAAGGATATGTGGGAACCTCCCACGTGACCTAGTATGGGAAAATGTGTTTTTGCATTAAGTTGTAGTAAATCGGTAGAACAGCGAGATTCCTTGTACCAAACAAAATCATTTCTCCAAAATTTTATCCCGAAATCATTTTTTATTTCAGAGAAAGTTTCAAACCACAAAAAAACGTCCTTGTTAATTTTGAGAAAATTTTTTTTTGAAAAAACTTTTATTAGCATTGTAAACTACATTAAAAGAAAACCCCTTCAAAAAACCATTTATTATTGTAATTCAAACTTAATTTATTATTATGTGACGCACTCCGAAGAATAGAACCTAAGAAGCAAAAAAAATTATAGGTTATGTTTCGGGATTTCTAACGCCCTAAGCAGAATAGAAACGTAACCGGAATCGTAATCGCAAACGCAATCGGAAGAATTAGTTAGACAAGGACAAACAATATGTCTATCCTTCTCTAACTCATTCTTCCGGTTGGGTTTGCGATTACGATTCGGGTTATGTTTCTATTCTGCTCAGGCCTTAAGCGAAAACACACAAAGTGGATCAATTCTTAATACAAATTGATATTAAAAAATTTATTACATCCAAAATATTCAATCAAAAAACTTCTAAGGTCTCTTTTTTCAGAGCGCGTCACATATAATATAATTATTTTTAGGTAAAATTTGTGAATATTTACATGTAAAATCACAACAACCACATGACCTTAATACTTATTTTTTAATATCATAATATCTATTTAAAGTAATTTCGAAAAAAAAATTAAAATAAATTAAAAAACCATGTCTCTAAAGTTTTGAACATTCAAATGCGAAACACAAATTTTTTCGTTTCGATATTTTCTAGGAAAATTTTTTCTAAAATTGAATTCTAATAAGAAATAAAGAATAAATTCAACATATATTAAGTAAATAATTCATTTTTTAATGTGTAAATTAATATTTTGTACTAAAGTTTAAACTTACAAAAAGTAAAAAAAAAATCGTTCATTTGAACGTTCAGAACTTTAGAGACATAAAAAAAAACCAACACTAAAAATCTCCCAATTATAATATGGAAATGATAAATGAAATTTTTCAAACACAATTTTTTATATTTACACAATTTATTTTATATCTCAACATCTTCATATCATAATCCTCAAGATTCAAGTCAATTGTAAAAGTAACTCTTAACAGTTAAAAGACGAATCATGTACTTACAATAAATTGAGGATAAATTACGATATTTTTTTTTTTTTACTTAAATCATTGTTTTTTCTTTTTTTTTCGCATTGACATCAGGCGAAAAACGATCCATATTCATTTGGATCAAGAGATATTAAAAAGAAGCAGTTTTACGGAAGTTTCACAATATACAGAAAACAGATTACGTGGAGATATATTTTTTTTTTTTAACAAGTATAAAACTTGTTTGGCTTGAGGGATCGGTGGCCGATTCTCGTTTTTTTTTCCTCTCTATTCTATAGAATAAAGTGTTTTTCTAAAATAATAAATTCACACATTGCATATTTAATTAATACTTCGAATAATATTAATAATAATTTCTTTTTTCCTCGGAGAAAAATGAAGTGTTGAGTACAAAAACTCGTGTGTAAATATTGGTAATAAACTCTAATTAATAATTATTGTATACAACAATTTACTTTTCTCCTCTCGTAACAAATTTTGTCTATATCGTGTTCACTCGTTTTTGAGAATAATTTGAATGATCATCCCGAAAACAGAACATTTCTTTTTTTTTTTTTGTTTTTTTTTTTTTGATACAAGAACGAAAAAAGTTGTCAATTTTACAATTTAAAAAAAAAAATGGAATTTAACGCAACGATGACACATGTTTTTTTTTTTTTTTTTTTTTCTTTACGTTCTGCGCAACAAATATTTTTCTCTTTTTAATTCATTGGAAAAACTTAAGCACAAAAAACAGTAACATTTTGTTTTTCTTTCGTTAATTACTTAATTTTTAACAGGTACAATCACACCTGTTTTTTTTTCTTCACTATCCAGTAAGTAACAGTAAAAAAAAAATTTGCTTTTTATATTTAAAAAAAAAAAACACAATAGTCACAATTAATCGAATAAATCACTTGATACTAAAATTAATTTCTTAATGTTATATATAAAAAAAAAAATTAAAAAAAAAAAAATTGCTTAATTTATTCAAATATGGAAATTGAAGAAGAATATCTCTAAGATTGCTTTATTTGTATAAAAAAAAAATGTCGGCCTATGATTTCTGGATTATTCAAAAAAGTATTTTTTATTAATATTATAGTAAATTAATATAGTTGTACCCGAGAAGAAGTAAAAAAGGAACTGTGCGCTCCAGCTTTACAAAAATTCGTCCGCTTTTTCTTTTATGTTACAATAATAATCATCTTTCCCTTGGTTCAGGACAACCAACCCTCAATATATTATTATCATAAATAAATTTGGTCTATCGGTAATAATGTCAATACGCCGTTACAAAAAGAAAAAAAAACTGGCAGTATTTTGGTTATTAGAGGAAAGTCAAGATTACTGGAAATATATATATTGTATATAAAAAAAAATGGAAAAAAAAATTATTTTTTACTGTACAATTGAGAGATGGTGTTTTACAATAAGCCACAAAAAAAAAGTATTTCAAATTTTATATCATTATACTCGCATATTATAATAATAATTAACAAAAAAAAAGCATTGTCTACATCCAGTAAACTTGAAATTCAAAAAAAAAAAAAAATAAATAAAAAAAAAATTGAATGGCCCTATAGGTATTTTGCAAATCTAGTGGCGATAAACGATATAAAAACCCTCAAAATTTACATTGAGCGGAAATTTTTTGTCATAAATTTTTATTTAACAATTTTTACTTTTATACAAAAAAAAATAATTTTCATAAAAAGATTCGTCAATAAAAATCACATTCGGACATAATTTAAATTGAAAAAATCAGTCTTTCAATGGATATACAGGATTAATTTCAGGGTTGATTATTTTCATTCTTTTTTTTCTGTCAAGTAAAACGATTAAAAAAAGAAAAAAAAAAAAAAAAAAAGACATACAAAATTGTAAAACCATCTCGTCCCAAGGGATAATTCGATTACTTCCATCATCGATTCGCAAAATTACCCTGAACAGCCTGCATTGTATTTAAACTATTAAAGACCCACATATTATCTGTTTGTAAATTCGCGGTATAGATTCGCTTTTAAAAAAATAATCAGTGTTATAGTGTAACATACTGGGTTCAAGACAGACATCAACATTCTACTTTTTTTTTGTTTGTTGTGTGTGTACGAGTCGATATAACATTTTAATCAATGTTAAATCGAGATTGAGAATAATTTGTATATTACATCAACGATTGCGTTGATCCAAGTCATGAACCAGAGATTATAACTGTGTCGTGCACATGGGTTTTTTTTTTTTTTTTTTTTTTTAATTGTGTGTAAAATTTCGTGTACTTGTTATGTGTGTACGTTTACGCGATCATTTCTTTTTTTTATATCATTTTCTCAGTCTGCACACGCTCCAAAAAACATCTGAAAAGAAATTTCTATTTTTAATATACAAGATACATAAGAGTAGATAGTCGTTTTCTTTTTTTGTCATTCAAAGTCAAGGTTACATTGTGACTTTTAATAATATTATTTGTCACACATTTTACAAGTTTATCCCACGATATACATTTTTAGTTTTTAAGAAAATTTATATTGATAAAAACTTAAATTAAAAAGTTGTTTATAATGATAAATAAAATTAAAATAAAATTGCCCCACATTAGACATTATTAGGAATTTTTAAGGCGTCTAATTAGTTATTATTAAACCAAATTCATTTCAAATCAGGCAGACTGAAACGTCGTTTATCTAAAATTTAAGAAAAAAAAAAAAAAACTTTGAAGTTTTATAATTTTTAAAGTAATTTAAATGTCTCATTTTTTGTTTTTGCATTTAAAAGAGCTTTCATTTTTTTTTAAAATCCGTTGGAAAAATTAAAAAATGTTGAAAAATATTTTTTGTTATTTTTTTAGAAAATTGTTTTCTTCTTCTACCAGAATTAGCAAATAAAAATTCTGACAAATAAAAATTCGAACAAATAAAAATTGTGAAAAAGTGTCACTTTTTTATCAATTAGAAAATATATTTCAAAAAAACATAGAAAAATTCTTAAAAGTGTAAAAAGAATGATTGATTCTTCTTTAAAATTAGTGAATTAATTATTATTTATTATAATTAAACTAGTAAAAAAAAAATTAAAATAATAAATAAAACATGTTTTTAAAGTTGGTCTGTAAAATAACCTGACTTTGTGATTTTTATCAATTAATTAAGAGAAAGTGAAATTTTTATATTGTTTTTAAGTAACAATTTTATTACTAAAAGGAAAATAGATAAAATGATAAAAATTTTGTTTAAAATTTTTATTAAAAAACACACAAATTTCCTTTGGAACAAAATTCCCTGACTTTTTCCTGATTTCTATAGTTTTTCCTTGACTTGCGGCCACCCTGCTTTACATTTTTAAGAATTTTTCTATATTTTTTTTTTATAATATATTTTCTAATTGACACTTTTTCCGACCTTCTACACTTTAATTTTAAGATTTTAAGAATAAAGTAATAAAAATTTCAACAGAATTCATTACTATGCAATTTAAAACTAATTCTGTTACTTTTTTTAATTTTCTAAATAAATAGCGATAGTTTTTTTTTACTTTTTACTACTTAAAATTTCAATTTTACAAGAAATAATACAAATTTTAACAAAATTCTTTTCATTTTATATTCTCGAAACATAGAGAGTGACCATTTTAGAAATTTTATTTTTTCAAAAATATTAAAATTATTAAAAATCCATACGATTAATTGTTCAGAATTATGGAAAAAGCCTACAAAAAAATTTGCCGATAAAAAATAATAAAAATTGTGGAAGAAGTTGAATTTTTAAGGAATAATTGATAAAAATTTAAACCAAATTTAATTGGTTTTGTTTAGGGGTAACAATTTTTTTTTTTTTTTAAATTCTTTTAGAATGAATTAATTGTTTTTCAATTTCCCATAGTATATTACAGTTTTAAATATTCAAATATAGTCAGAAAAAAAAATTGACAACCTTAAACAGCCTTAATTTTAAAAGGTTGAAATTTCAGTAGTCCATTTCCCCTTAAATAATTGAACTATGAAAAAAGTACATATTTATAAATGTAAAAAAATATTTTAAATTTAATTAAAAAAATATATTTACTTTAAATTTGTAAAATTTTTGTAGAAAAAAAATTCTGTTTCTTTTTTTTTTGTATTTACACAATTGAAATATATTGAGATGATTTTCATTTTATAAAAACAAGAATTTAATGTAGAGGCAATTCTTTAGAATTTTTCATCATTAGCATATGAAAACAGTTTGGAAATAAAATAGAAAACACATGTTTGATCTTTTGTGTCTGAATTGTTTGTACGATTAGAATTAGATCATTTTTTTACGTTCAAGCTTATTTGAATGTTACAAAAAAAAAAATTTTAATTTCTGAATTTATGTACCTATTTTAGTTATTCACTTTATTAAATAGCAAACATTTAAAGAAAATTTTTTAAAAAATTGTTTTTAAATATTTTTTAATAATTAACAAAAATGTAAATGTTTGAAAATCAAAGTAAAAATCAACTAAAATGTTTACATGGAATAAAATAGAAAATAAATATTAAATTAAATAATTGTCACAAGTAAAAACTCCTTGAAAATGAAATGAAATTATCAAAAAAAAATTTGTTTTTCAATAATTGTCACAGTAATTGATGCAATAATTATTTTTCGAATCGACATTTTTTAATAATTAAAAAATTCTTGTTAAATAATCAAATTCATAATAATCAAGTTCATTTGAAACGCAAAAATGAAAATCCAATATTTTTTTCTATTTTACGTTCGAAATATTTTTGTAAACTATTTTTTATTTTGCATTTCAAATACTTTTTTTTGCAAAATCATTTTGGAATTTTTATTTTTGTTGATAATTGAAACAATACTTTTTTTTTGTCCAATAAGTAAAAAAATGCATAAGATCAAGAAATACAATGTTTCTTATTGTATTTTTTTACTTATATATCAAACAACAGAATATATTATATAGAGAGTGAGAAAAATTTTTGTTGTTTACCATAACTAGAAACGTATAGACTTTAACCCTCTCGTTTAATGGCACCCGGAGCCTCAGCAAGTCCTTTAACCTTAAGTCGATCCGCAGTTTTCAAAAATGCTGGGAGTTGATCTTGTGAAACATTTACTTCACCTGCATACATAAATTCTAGAATTGCTTGTAGGTGACTATATGCTACATCCTTGAGTATAATAATTGGGTGTTTGGACGGATTTTCCTATAATGTAAAAAAAGTATATTTGTATTAAACAAGAAAACTATTTTTTTTAAATTCATATTATGTGTGATTTTTCTGAAAGTTCTACTTTTAAGTTTTGGTTTTTCAATTTTGTTTTTTTTTTCTTTAAATATTATAGATTTTTTTTCTTTTTGAAATTACTTTATAAATTCCATTAAAAAAAAAAACAAAAAAAATAGTATTAAAATGGGAGAAAATTAATTCTTAGAATTATGGAAGTAACAGAATATATTTTTCTTTCGTGAAAATTGACATTGTTGAAAAAAATTTCGACGAAAATTTTTCAAAATACCGAAAAAATTGAAAAAACCGATTGGAAAATTGTTTTAATTAATTTATTTTTATTTCAAAACATTTCCAGCAGTTAAAATTAAAAAAATACATAATGCAATTTATTTTAAACTTTTTAAATAGTTCGTTGTTTTTCTTTTTATAAAATTAGCTTGAGAACATGAAAACAAAAATATCAAGTGAATTTACATTTTTGGATACCATCTGATTAATAAATTTACACACATTCTGTATATTAGAGCGTTGAAGCCGACAAAGGTATTAAAATTATCAAGATAAAAGGGTTCAACATATCGTGCAGACAATCTTGAAACTTTAAAACTGATTAGGCTCAACAAAAAAAAAAAAAAAAAAAGGAGTATCAAGTTTTTCAGTTAAAATTTTAAAAAGAACTAGCGCTAACAACGCGATACATTTTTCCTTCAACGTGTTAAACCAAAATCTCTAACACATAGATAGTCGAATCCTGGCGAAAAATAAGATTTAACGACTTTAAATATTAAGTATTTTAGAATAATAAAAAATTTAATCTAAAAATTTTCTTTATTTTCTTCAAAATTAAATCTTTTTTTTTAATTTTTAATTAAAATGAAACAACAATAGGTTTGCGACTAAATGTAACAAAAAACAAAAAAAAAATTTTTTCCCTTTCTTCAAATTTTCTCGCGAATCTACTATTGTCCCATTTTTATATTTACATATTCAGGCCTTGGATCGACTTTAAAGCACAAAAAAAAGTCGTTTTAGTCGATTTATATTCCCAAAAAAAAGTCGAAGAAGTCAATTTTTTTATTTTAACAAAATTTAATTAGTTAATAAATATTTTACTTTAAATAACTAATGTTATTAGATATTAAATTCATTTTATTAATTTTGTCATAAGAATAATTCTATAAAAATATTATCAAGAAAATTTATTTCGAATATTTCAGAATCGAACTAATTATAAGATCAATTTTCAAAATTTTATTTAAGTAGGACAAATTTCAAAAAAAAATTCTTAAAGTTTCATTTTTATAATTTTTTGAATTTGATTTAAGCAATTTATTCGAATTAAAAATGTTGTTATAGTTTTTAGTTTTGATGGTGAACAAAATTTCAAGCAATACTTAATTAAGTTTTATAGATTTTAAAAAAAAAAATTTTTTTAAATAATAATTTTGGAAGAGTTAAAGTTGTAATTTTTAGAAATAATTGAATTCCAAAAGTTTTTAATTGAAAAATAGTTTAAGATAATTAAATTTGTGAAGAATTTCATTGAAATAATTAAAAATAATTAATTTAGTGAAGAATTTTAGTTAAAAATTTGTTAAATAATTGAAATAAAGAAGATCTGAAGAAGATTTGCATTGTATATTAAAAAAATGTAAAAAAAAAGTCGAAAAAGTCAAAAAAAAAAACTTTTCAATAAAATTGCCAAAAAAATTTTTGAAGAAGGAAAAAAGAGTTAAAAATAAAAAAAAACGGGTAAAAGTTAACAAAAAACTCATTTTTATTTATAAAAAATCGTTATTTTTTATATCAAAATTCATAAATTTTTTGTTTCGTTAACATATTTTGAAAGTTGATGAAAAACTGAAACATTTTTTTTTCTTGCCAAAACTTTCTAAATTCAATACTTTTAGAGTTAGATGTTATTTAAAAAACCTTGAAAAACCCCGATTTTAAAAAATTCATAACTCGAAAATTTGGGTACTTATAAAAAAAAAATACTTATACCACTTTCTTCTGTGAAGAACGAAAAACAAAATTATTATCCGAATTTAAAATGTCATAAAATGAAATATTTATGGTGGACCGAACAAAATATTTTAACGAATTTTATCCATTAGAATAATAAATGCGGATCAGTGAAAAAGTGCCAGACCATGACGCTCAATAAATATTGATTTTTTTTTTTTTTTTTTTTTTAAAGAATTTATTAGCGATTTTTATTTTCCGTTTCATATTCACGACATTAATATCCACTAAATTAATATTGTTATACTTTATAACAAAAAATAAAAATAATTATTGATTTTATTTGCAAAATATATGAATGCCAGACCATGGTGATTTTATGATTCCTTATACAAATTTGTTGCTTAATAAAACGTAAAAAAAAACAACAACAAAAATCAATAATCAAATTAGCTTCTGTTGTAGTGGATCAAATTAAGAGAACTTAATTTTTGTAGCCTTAGGTAAATTATAGACAATTTTAGAATTGATTTTTATGTAAATAAATGAATTTTATAAAAATACTAGATAATGACGCATAAAATGTGAGACAAGAATCAACATAAAAAATTTTTTTTTTTTTTTTGATAAGCGCTTAGTGTTTTTCAATTCTAATGACTTAGACAACAATAATAATAATATTTATTACTGTATTTTGTTACAAATATTTATTTTTGTTATATAGATGGCACTAAAGACATGTCAGACCTTTTGGCATCTTTTAAATGTTTTTAAAGCAAAATGATTAAATTATAAGTGAAAACGACTATTGACTTTTGATTGTAAACATAGAAATTAGTTATTTACGTTGAATTTATTACAGAGCTGATAAAAATAATTATTATTTTTAGAAAATCCAATTTTTTTTATTTAAATTTTACTTTTTTGATTAAAATTTGATTTTTTTAATTTAAATCATTCACGTTTTTTTTTTTTAATAATTGTTGATTTTTAAAAAGTCATTAATTCCGTACTAAAAAGTTTGAATTAAAACTTTTTTTGAAAAAAAAATGTCAGAACTTATATAAAAAAAATTTTAAAATGAAATTATTCAAAAAGAAATGTTTTGATTTTTGAAATGTCAATAACCTTGTAATAATTTAAAGTAAAATTTCTCAAATAAATCAATCGATATGTTTTTAAATATTCTATTATTTGGTTTTGATAGTTTTGACAAAAAGACTTTTTAACAAATAATTCAAAAAGTCATATTTTACAAAAATTTCTTACTTTTAAAATGTAAATAATTTTGAATAAAATGTCAATTTAGAATATTCGACAATAATTTTAAAAGATGAATTTAAAAACTTAGAATATACAAAATTGAATATAAAAAATAAATTAAATATAAATTTTTTAATATTTTCCTCCAATGAATTACCATAGAAGCTTAAAGTAATAATAATAATAATAATAATAATAATAATAATAATAATTTTAAAAAAATTAATTATTAAAAACTTTGATTTGAATGTAAATGGCCCTTTAAATTAAATTATTGCAGTTTTGAATTTATTACATGAGCCAAAAGCTTTGAACGTTTAAATAAATGAAATTTTTTTTGCAATTTCTTTAAGTACGAATTTTTTTTACAAAATATTGTTTTAAATATCTAAAAAAAAGTTATTAATTTATTAACTTCACCCAATAATTGTTTAATTTATTGTTTTATTTTTTACATTGCCATTATAAGTTTTAATAATTTATACATTGACGTTCAGAAATTTTGGCTCATTTTATTACCATATATATGGGCGATTCAACGTGAGATTTACCTATGACCTTTTAAATTCGTCTAAATAAATTTTTTTCTTATTCTTTGTAGAAAAAAAAGGTTTACGTACTTTTTTTTTTACTTTTTTATTAGTGCTCAAATTTTCAAATTATGAATTTTTAAAAATCTGATTTTTTCAAGTTTCTTTGATATACACCTAATTTCAATGACATGCAACTCTAAAAGTATTGAATTTAGGAATTATGACCAAGATACAAAAAAGTTTCAGTTTTTCCTCGATTTTCAAAATATGTTAACAAACAAAATTTTTTTGAATTTGTTTATAAAAAACAGCGATTTTTTTATAAACAAATTAAATTTTTTTAAAATTAGGCGTGATTTTTTTAAAAATTTTTTTTTTATTTTTACACACATTAACATAAGAAGAAAATTTTGTAATAAGTTTATGCTCCTTTTGTTTATATAATTTTCAAAATGAAAAGTGTTTTTGACACTAGGATCTACTAGTAAACTCATAGAAAAGCAAATTAAAATACATTTTATTTTGAAAATTATATAAACAAAAGGAGCATAAACTTATTAGTCGATTTATATTCGAAAAAAAGTTGAAAAAGTCAATTTTTTCAATTATAACAAAATTTAATTGGTTAATAAATATTTTACTTTAAATAACTATTATTATTAGATATTAAATTAATTTTATTAATTCTGTAATAAGAATAATTCTATAAGAACATTATTAAGAATTATTAGAAATAATTGAATTTCAAAAGATTTTTTTAATTTTCAAAGAATAATTAAATTTTACAGAACTAAAAATAATTTGTTTTGGAAAAAAATAATTATTTCACATAGTTGAATTTTCGAAAAATTGAATTTCAATTTTAGATGATTTTAAGTTGAAAATTTTAAAAATAATTGAATTTCAATTGATATTGAATTCAAATTTTGGAAAATAATTGAATTTCAATCAAAGTTTTGAAAAATAATTGAATTTTAGTTGATTTTGAATTGAAATTTTTAGAGATAATTGAATTTCAAAAAATTTTAGTAATAATTAATTTTTTAGAACCTTTTAAATTGAAATTTTTGAAAATAATTGAATTTCAAAAGATTGTTTTTAATTTCAGACAATAATTATAATAAGTGAAATTTCTAGTGATTTCTGTTGATGAAGAATTTATTAGAAATCACATAAAAAAAAAATTAAATTCCAAAAATTTTAATTGAAATTTGCTTTCAGATAATTGAAAATTTTCGAAGAATATTATAAAAATCATTAAAAATAATTGAAATTTTTACAAATAATTAAATTTCAAATGATTTTTAATTAAAATTTTTTTGATAATTTTATCTGCTAATTTTTCTTTAAATTATAAACAATTATTAAATTTCATATAAATTGTAATTGAAAAATAGTTTTAAAAAAATTGAATTTGTGATGAATTTCATTAAAATTATTAAAAATTATTAATTTAGTAAAGAGTTTTAGTTAATAATTTGTTAAATAATTGAAATAAAGAAGATCAGAAGAAGATCTGCATTATATACTAAAAAAAACGTATTTTGTTTAAATTTTTTTTTTAAATGTAAAAAAAAGTCGCATTTTATTTAAATAAGTCGAAAAATGTCGTATTTTTGAAAAAAAGTAGGAAAAAGTCGTATAATCCAAGGCCTGAATTTATTTCTTTAAAAAAACACATGAGGGACATGAAATTGTGCGCTATGTAAAGAATCATCTATATATAAAGAGGTGATAAAAATAAATAATAATTAATATTAATGTATTATCGAAATATGAAGAAAATATTACCTCTAATAAAGATTTGAAATATGGACTGCAAGCGGAGAGTACCATTTTGTGAGCTTTGCACGTTTGTCCATCGCAGGCTAACGTTACATCTGTGAAGCTCTTTTCATCTCTTAGGTGTTTAAAAGAAGACACCATGTTTGTTTGGAAATCGTTCCATTTGAGAAAAAATTGTTGTTGTTCGCCAGCCATCGTTGATACTATTTTTTTTTCTTCTTGTGTCTGTCGAATTAGGTATCTAGGTCTAAAATAAATAAATTATTTTCAACCAGTGCTATATATGCATTATAAATATATATTGTAACATTACGAATACGTTAAAAAAAAAAATTATACTTTGATTATACCTAAAAATAAAAAAAAAAATTTTTTTTAAATTTATATACCTATAATATCATATATACATCTATGACAAATATTCAGAAACGAAAAATACAATTGCGTCATAACTAGTCGTTACTGTTAACAGCTCGACCTTGAAGATAAGTTAAAATGAAGAAATAATGTGCGTTAACATTATACATTTGACAGTGATCTACAGTTTGCAAAACTAATTACAATGTAATTATATGGTATTTAAATTTTCAAAACAATTTTTTTTACCGGTAACACACATATTTTATTAATATATTAAATTATAAAAAAAAAAAAAAAATTTTTACCAATAATGATTGAAAGAAATTTGTTAACATTAAAAAGTTCCAAATAAAAATAAATTAGCTTTTCTTTTCAAAACTAATATTAATAAAAATATATAATTAAAAAAGACATTTTTTTTGTGTAAATAACAAAAATTATTTTTTTATGTTAATAAAATTTGTTTATATAAATAAAATTTGTTTACGCAAATAAAAATTCGCATTAAGGAAAAAATATTCGACAGTCAAAACAAAAGGTAGTTCAACTTTATATTTTTGTCTTCTTAAGAAAATGAAAAAAAAAATGTTTATTAAAAAATTTTTTAATAAGTGCGAAGAATTTTATTTTTTGTATATATAAAAAAAAACAAAATAATAAAAAAAATAAAAGTAATAATAATAATAATAATAATAATAATAATAATAATAATAATAATAATAATAAAAGTAGATAAAATAAATAAAATAATAAAACTTTTTTTTTTATTTATAAAACTAAAAATTGCATTGTATATTTTAAATTTGCTGACACGGATTCGAAATGTTAAAAATTTTATTGTTTACACTTTGCAACAATTAAAGTGTAAATTGTTTTTTTTTTTTTTTTTTTAATTCAAAAATAAAAGGTGGAAAATTTTTGTTTTGATTATCCAATTCTTTTTTTTTAATTTTCACATAAAAAACTACATTAAAATAAAATTTTATATTTTTCAAAATATTTTCGTAATAAATTGTTAATACACAATTTAAAAAAAAACATCTTTTATTACAGACAAGAAAAAAACGTTTCTTCAAAGATTAATTAAATATATTTCACCTACTTTTTTTTTTAAACTCCGATCAAAAATTAAATTAAAAAAAAAATCTGAATTTTTTCTCCTTTTTTTTATTACACATTATAAAAATAGCTTCAGGCGCTGTAGACGAGTCAATATTATTGAATGTATCGAATTCTGATATAATGTTAAATTATATTATTTATAGGATGGAATTTTTCATTTAAAAAAAAATTTATTTTCACTAACAAATATTATAGATAAAAAAAACAAAAATCGACAAAAAGCAACAGTTTAACTTATACGAAACTTGGACTATATTCATATTTAAAAAAAAAAAGTAACAAATTATCCTCCATTTTTGAAATACGATATATAAATGAGCAAAAAAAGAAAAAAAACAAAACAGGTTTGATATAATTAAAACAAAAATGGTGCTACATGGAGAAAAAAAAAGTAAAATAAAAAAGAATACGTTTTTTGAACGTTATAAAACAATTTTCACATATGACACAAAAATTATTTTCAACCTCTCATTTATCGGTTATAAAATTAAATTGATTCAAACATTTAATAATTTAAATGTCGGACTATACCCCAGCCAAACAAAAATATAACCGAGAAATCGATAATGCGTCCAAAAATGGATCGGTTAAAAAGTATATACGAAGAAAAATATTGGCGTGGATTTGTATAATTTATATACACATATATATATATGCTGGGTGTGCTAATAAAATATTTTGAGGTTAGTGCGTGTGTGTGTGTGACTTATAGAAAATAAAAACAAAGAAAAATAAAATAAATTCATATTAAATCTATATCAAATTGAAATGAAATTCTTTACACGTGATCTCTTTTTGACAAGAGTGTTTATGGGTTTCGCATGTTCGACAATGGATGCTGGATCGCGCTTATTCACATTTTACCACAACAATACGCGTGCGTCTGTTCCTTTTACCATCGAAAGACATGATACACTCGTAGTTACCAAAAAAGATGAGCAAATAAAAAACAATTTCAATGTGATAAATAATAATTGATATTATCGTTTAATACTTACTGCGTGAATAAATTCTCGTAACACAAAATCCTTCAAAAACCGACGCACAAATATCAGAAAAATGAGAGACACAGGAAATATATATATATATATATAACACTGGCGAAAACTATTTACCCAGTGGTAACAATTTTTTTTGTTATGGCTAATATCACGGATAGAAAATTCGACATAACTCGGTCTCTTCCGTCTATAGTCGACGCTCTTCGTCATCAGTGCTGCCAACGGCATATAACGGTAGTTTCATCAAACGCTTCCGGGTTTGTCAATTCAATTGAAATTCTTATTCTATTCTTTTTTTTTTTTTTTTTTGTTAGGTATTATCAAAAATATAATTTTTCATGAAAAATAAAATTTAATTGACATAAAATTGAAATTATATATGTAAATTTTTTAGATTAAAGAAGATTTAATGAAAATGGATGAAAAATTTCATTTTTTTTTCCAGTGCTGGAAACTGTCATCCAAGAATTTCTACCTGGAAATACGTCAAAAAAAATTCTGATATAATCTTTAAAATCTTGCAGGTTTTATTTAGAAATTATTTGAAATATTTTGTCCACTAAATATTGTATTTTATAAATAAATTACTAATTTACATATGTTCATTATTATCGAATTTTTCACATTTTTGGAAATTTATTATTATTATTATTATTATTATTATTATTATTATTATTATTGCTAATAATACAAATGAATAATCTGTTTTACCATTAGAAAATAGTTTATAATTTTTAATTATAGAAAACAAAATTTTAGTTAATAAAATTGGGAATTTTATTTACAAATAAATATTAATATTATTGTCTTTTAAAATACATTATTATTGAATAATGTATAAAACAATGGAAAAACAATTACCAGCAGTTGTTAATCAATTGTTCGGCTAGATGTCGCCACATGATAAAATACACTATTCATGACGGGAAAAATATAATTTTTTTATTCAAATATAAAATATATGAAATTCGTTTTAAATAATTTGTGTTTTATTCTGATTTTTATTAAATCTAAGAAATGATGTTTTTGTATGTTTCTACAGTTCATTTACCATCTGTCGGTAAGGTAGAAAATTATCTAAATTATTTTTAAAAATTGTTTTTTAAATATCAATTTTATGAATAAATTAATGTTTAAAAAAAAACATTGCAAAAAATTATTTTTGAAAAAAAGAGGGTTATGAAAAATTCCAATTACCATCAGCTGAAAATGTGTCAATATCGTTTGATGGTAATGACATTGAATTTATTGCGCTCTCTTGTATATGTATAACTGGAGAACTAATTAAAAATAAAAAAATAATTTTTTTTTTACTTTAATTCGAATTTATGTGAAATAATCTTTTTGTTTTTATTTAAATTCAAAATACGAGGGAATTTAAGAAAAAAAAATCTTATTTGTATATTATCTTAGGAAGATTGTTAATTTTTTAATTAATAATAACATATAACTTTTTTATCTTGTTCCGTAGTGAATAATTTATAAGGTCGTATGCGTGTTAAGAAGAATAACGATCATAATTATTTATTATGTATCATTTCATTCATCAATATACCATAATGAATAGTTGGCATTGTTATGACTTAGAATTTTTATTCACATTCAATCACTGAGTAATAAAATTTTTTTAATTCAAATAAGTTATGCAATTCATATTCAAATACAAAAATCAAAATTTGCCATCAATATGTAAAATTTTAGTTGTTTAAATTAATATTAGAATTTTATTGATTCAATCAAAATTTTGTTAATTTAATCAAAATCTTATTTTTAGTAATAATTTAGATTATAAATTACCAAGTATAGAAAATTAAATAAACCAAAAATTTAATTGGGTTAAAAAAATTAAGTTGACGAATTAAAATTATATTGATTTCACCAAAATTTAGTTGATTTAAAAAATTAAAAAATTTTCAATTATTAAAATGAAAAATTTTATTTCTAAGATAAACTTTGGCTTATTTTTTAAACAAAATTTTGATTAGACACAGAATTCAATTGATTAAATTTAAAATTTGGTGGGGTACAAAAAAATTTGTATTCGTTGAATTAAATATTGGTTTAACTAAAATTTGGTTAATTTAACAAAAAATTTGCTTTTCTAAAAAAATTTTTGACCAATTTTACAAATAAATTTTAATTATTAAAATTCAGTTGATTAAATTAAAATTTAGTTTGTTTCACAAAAATTTTCTTTTTAAGAAAAATATTGACCAATTTTCTAAATAAATATTAATTAGACAAAAAATTAAATTAACTAAATTAAAATTTGGTTGTTTTAATTGAAATTTGGTATAAATTTTATTTAAAAAAAAATTGTCTACATTCCAATTAATTTTGCTTTTAATATACAATTTTTAGTTTAAACTTTATTATAAAAGAAATTTTGCATAATTAAAAGTAATTATTTTCTATTAAAAAAAGAGAATTTTCTCTCTTTATAACAAGTAATTTTTATAATTATTATAAAAAAAACATATTTTTAAAATATATAATATATATACCAACACATGTATAGATAAGAAAATTCTCAAACACCTTGTTCGTTCAGAAAATCTATAAAGTACAAGGAAAATAAGACAATGTAAATATTATCAACATCTGCGAGTTCAATATTTTTTACCGAAACAGAAACAGAAAAAAAATAATAATTTTTCAAATTTTGTTTATTTATATAAAATATAGAAGGTTCAATTTATTTTTCAATAAATTTATAATCAAACAGATTTTTAATTAACTATTTTTCCAAAATTAGACATGCATTATTTTTGTTTTTTCATTTAAATTATTTTTTTCAATATAACTTTAAACAATAATTTTAAAATTATAATTATTTTTTTTTTCAATGATTTTAAAATAATTTTTTATATTAATAATAATAATAATTTATTTGCATTTCCTTTTCAAGGATCTTTACAATTTCCTTGTTTAATTTTTTATATTAATAATTGTTTAATAATTTTTTAATAATTTTAAATTAATTTTTTACAAAATAAAGTCAATTTTTTTAAAATAGTAATTAATTTTTAATTGTTATATAATTTTTTCAATTAAATTTTATGATAATTATCAATTTTTTATTTTTATTTAAATTCTCTCAAAGTAATTCAATAATGTGACTATTATTGAGGTCAAAAACTTGGAGTGAAGCGTGTATAAAAGTGTCTCAGGAAAACGGATCTCTATAAAGAACAGCAACAGGTAGTTGGATATATATATATATATATACAAAGAATACACTTGTGAGTTATTTGAGGGACTAAAAGGAGTGGTATTAAATAGAAGAGAAAAATCTTATTTGTTAAACCTGTATGCAAACATTTTTTCAGGGTGTCCCAAATATTCATTATTCTTTTAAAAATGGGGACAGTCAAATTGACTTTCAAATATTATTGTCACACATTATATAATCTCTAAATATATGAATTGTTAAAAAATAACTATAATTTTTAGTAAAATTTTGGCTAATTTTTTATTTTATCATGAATTAGTAAAAAAAATAACTAATTATTAGCAAAAAGTAAATAATTATTAGTAAAAAGTAACTAATTATTAGCAAAAAGTGACTAGTTTTTAATAGAAGAATAATTGAAAAAATAGTAAAATTTGACTAATTTAATTAGTTACCAAAAATTATTGGTAAAAATTAATAAATTTTTAATAGAAAAAAAAATGAAAAAATAGTTATATTTGACTAATTCAATTAGTTACTCGAAATTTTAGTTATGTTGACACAATCTAAAATGAATTTAACTAATAATTAGTTATTTTTAACTAATTCATTATTTAAAAAATTATTATTCAAATCATTAACTAACTTTCTGCTATCAAATCACTTATTTTTAACTAATTCAAATTCCGAGTAATATATTTTAAAAAATTTTTTAAATTTGTAAAAAAAAATGACTGAAAAAAATTTATTTGATTCAAATAATCGATTACTTGACTATTACACCCAGAGAAATGATATATTCGTCTCACAGCTTAATAAATATTTATTTAATTTAAATAAATTTTTATTTGATTTCATTAAAAAAGTTTATTTACGCCAAATAAATATAGGCTAGTAGGCTGTGAGACAAATATATACATTTATTTAACTCAAATATAATATATTTATGGTATAAATAAAATATATCTCTGGGTCAAATAAATATTTACTTGAACCAAATAATTTTTATTTGAATTAAATAAACTATGTAATTAAACTAATACTTTCTGTACTTGGAACAAATATACCATTTAATTGACTCAAATAATAATTACTTGATACAAATAAATTTTTATTTAATATACTCTCTAAAGCTGAATTAGTAAAAAAGTTTACTAATTTGAATTAGTAACTCACTTTTTGCTTCTCAATTAGTAAAATTTTACTAATTATTAGTAACTTTTACTAACAATTAGTAAAATTTAACTAATTCTAAAGCAAAAAGTTAGTCACTAATTTAAATTAGTAAACATTTTTACTAATTCAGATTTAGAGAGTAAGAAAAGTTTTATCAGAATAGTCAAGTAACAGATTATTTGAATCAAATAAATTTTTTTCAGTGATACTATTTATTAAATAAAAAAAAAATTTCACTTCAATATCTACATTAGTTAGATTAAAATGAAATTAATAAATCTTGATTTGAAATATCAAAAATGCACTAAAAACCCCTTCTGAGCCTAAATTAGTAAAAAAAAAATTTGATTTTGTAATAAGTCACTGATTTTCAATTAGAATAAAAATCTGAATTTTGACAAAAAATAAAAATGTTTACAAATCTTCTTTTACACATTCAGGAGAAAAAAATTTAAAGCAACCAAATTTTTGTTGAATCAACCAAAAACTTTATTTTTGACTTAATAAAATTATTTCTTTAATCGAAAAAATTAAAATAAATTTATTCAGATCAAATAATAATTAAACCAAAAATAAAATTAAAATAATCGAAAAATTGTGTCAATAAAAAAAACTTGGTATACATTTGGTTCATACAAAAAAAAAAAAATTCTCTGAATGAACATTAATTTAAAAAAAGAAACTAAACGAAAATCCACGAAGATTTAGAAGAAGAAAAAAAATGTGTTTTTTTTTTCACTGATGAGCATAATAACGATATAATATGTTTTGAATCGCACGTTTCTTCATTATAAATATATAGTCGCAAGAAAGGCGACCGTAAAACTTTTCCTGTCGCGATGCTGTGTGTGCGCGACGAGGGGGCAACGTGGTGTCAGCGAGCGGCGAGGCAAGGGGAGTTCCCCACTTATATAGTGTACGGTAGGCTCGATTGTGGTTTTGGTTGTGCGCGCGCGCGGGGAAAGGGAATTCCCGCGAGGAATAAAAAAAGAGAGAAAAAGTTTATATAGAAGTCTGCGCATGCGCGCTAGATCCAACCAGAAAGTTGGCGCGCGCCCCGAATGAAAGCTTGCGACATGTCATCGAGGAGCTCAGTCGTGCGCCAACACTCCGTGCTGTTCGACATATTTTTATTATCCGGGCAGAGTGTACACTTTTTTTTGTTTTTTTTCTTCTTCTTTCACCCAAAAAATAAAATCGTCAGTGTTACTCGTGTTGGCGTTTTTCGGCTTTTAAAAAAAAGGTGCAATCACTGGCCATTAAATTAAAAAATTTTAAAAAAACGTGTTGGGATAAACTTGACAAATTAAAATTTATTTTTTTTGGATTCAGGAAGTGAATTTTTTAGTGACAGAGTGAAAACATTTTATTAACCTCAGGTGTGATAACTGTGACAGAACTGCTAACACCACGTGGTTAGCAGACGGAAAGTTGGAAAAAATCCCTTTTTTTTTTTGGTGAGGCTATCATCTGTGATGTGTTAAAAAAAAAAGTGAGTGATGGAGTCCCCAGTCATGTATGACACCTCGGCCCATCAGCCGCAATCTCAGGTACCGCCTGAGATGAAAAAATCATCCCAAGTGATGAACAACAATTCCGCCCTTCAAGTGAATCACAATCAACAAACTGGTAGTACAGTTGTTAGTAAAGTGTCAGCAAGTAAGGCATCATTACATCAACAATATGCCGAACATTGTGCTGCCGCTGGCGAATTAACGGATCTTAATACTCCGGAAATCTCATTGGATCTACAAAATCTCATTGATGACTCTCATTTTAATGATGGTCTATTAGATATGCTGAACGGTGGTAATGGCACAATTAAGCATAATAATCGTAATCCAGGCTATCCAAGAACAACCCTCGCCTATATGCCACAACCCGTACACAGTGGCGCAAGTTATCATCAAGGTAGTTGCAGTGACAGCAATAGTTCAAGTTCCGAATCGCCAAGCATTAAAGAAGAGCCCCTTGATCCTGCTGATTATAGGCGACATTGTCCTCAATTTCCACCAAGTGGTTATAGTCCCGTTAATAATGGACCATTTGCCAATGGTGGTTCAAATTTTACCAACCTCACACCATCAACGGTACCAGGAACACATCCTGTTCATCAGCAACAAAATAGGGTGGGCACAATGAAACCCATTATGTCACATCAACATCATGCAGCCGCCGCTGCAGCGGCCGCTGTTGCACGAAAACAAAGTAAATCCGTTGATAAGGCAAGCGATGAATATCGAAGACGAAGAGAGAGAAATAATATTGCCGTTAGAAAAAGTCGAGAAAAGGCAAAGGTACGATCAAGAGAAACTGAGGAGAAAGTTAAACTTCTTGTCAAGGACAATGAATTACTCAAGAAGAGAATTGAACTTCTCACTGAGGAGCTTAATGTTCTTAGATCGCTATTTAGTAGCGTTGGCGTTGTACCCGAACAACTTCATCGTGAAATATCAAGGCATCTCGATCAATTCCAACAACATGCGGTTGGACCCATGTAGCATTATTGCGATTCCACCTCAGCACCAATAAACTTCGACCTTGGAGATTCTTTCAAGGGAATCCGGCTGTGAACGCTTCCGCGTTGTCTCTTCATCATCATCACGGAACTAACAGGTTTCTCCGCATCTCCTCCTCTTTCGTTATATATATATACAAACTTCTTTCGTCAAAGGCCTCTGATGTCCTTAAAGGATTTTTTTCTTTAGTAACACATCACTTTTCTTTTCTTTTTTTTTCGTTCATGTCTATGGGTTTTACACTGAGAAAAATTCATTTTAGCTGTAAATTCCCGTTGTACGAAGGGAAAAAGACGTTAACTCATAGAACACACAAAACATGTACGAAAATTATTCTTAGTGACAATATATGAGTTAATTGGAATTTTTCCTTCGTACTACGGAGTTTTCGAACCAATAGGAAATTAATATTAGAATTTAAGTTTTGAACGTTGAAATGAAAGAAATTTTTTTTAAGTTTGAAGTTTATTACAAAATATTTATTTACATATTAAAAAATTATTTACTTAATAAGGGTTGAATTTTTTTTTTTATTAGAATACAATAATTTTAAAAAATATCGAAACGGAAAAGTTTTTGTTCATTTGAACGTTCAAAATTAGACATTAAAATTTAGTATAGTTTTGTAAAACTAGTTTAGCGGAAAAATGTGTGACGAACAGTTTTGATATTTTCAATGTCAAATTCGCAGGAGAGTATTTTTTGTTTCTCAGTGTACAAGCTTATTTAGATCAAATGCAACAAAGCAGTGTTCTATTTTCGAACATTTTGATGTTCCAATTTCAAAGCTTAATTTCGAAGAGTAAATTTTTTTCACTAACAAAAGTTAAAGTGTCTTTTTTTTGACAGTTTTGAAACAAAGTGTTTACACTCCGATTTTTATAACATTTGTAATTTTACCAACTTATTTCTGATTTAGTCAAAAAAAAAAAAATTTCCAACGTTCTGAACATTAGGTAGACAAATGAGAATAACTAAAAAGGTACCCGAAATTCTGAACGTTCATATGGACATTTAGGAAAAATTTAATACTTTTTAAATTATTATAAAATATTGTTGTCTGTATCCAAAACTAAATTTATGTATTAATATTAAAATCAATGTACTTTTTTATTTTTTATTGCTGTAGTAATTTTTTAAAAATGTGTATGAATTTATGAACGTTTTGATTTTATTGGACTATAAATTTTTTAATACAACAGCAATGAAAATTAGATTATTATTTTAATTTTTGGATACAGATGACATTATTTTATAATAAAGAAATTAAAAAGTAGTAAACAAATTTTTCCTTCATTTGAACGTTAAGAACTTTAGGCATACATAAAAATTACAAAGGTAAAATTAAAATGCAAATTAAAATTACCAGATGTCAATTTTCAAAGGAACATATAACTGTGTTTCAAAATATATATATATAGTAAATTATTTTTAAAAAAATATTAACAAAATTGTAAATATTGAAAAAATTTTAGATAATAAAAAAAATAGCTAATATATTAGTAAATATCGAATAGTAAAATGGCTAATAATAAATTGCTAAAAGTAAATTACTAAAAGCAAATTGCAATAGTAAATAGTTTAAAATTAATAAACAATATAGCTAATTAAAAAAATAATAATAAATAAAAATAAACCACAATGTTCAGAAAAAGGAATAAATTTTTTTTTTGATAGCTAAATGAAAATTGTTAATTAGTACTTATTTTCATTAAGTGAGATGTTACTGAATAAAAAGTGATTCGAGTCGCACAAAAAAGAAAGATAACACTTAATATATTTTATAAGTAATTGAATTAAAAAATAAAAAAAAAAAAAAAAAAAAAGCATTAAAAATACTTGATGTATATAAAGGTGCCTTGTATTAGATATGTCTTTCTGTTTTTTGTGCTATTCGGAAATCAGAACTGCAATCTAAGATCAAGAACCGGTTGGCATCATCGGCCTTGGCGAATTACAAACTTCACTATGTGGCAGCAGCATTACGTAAGTTGATCTCGTGCACTGCCAACGAATAGCTTATAAAACGCGCGTAAGATGTAGATTTTTATTAATTACGCTGACCCCACACATTAATTGTCATGATCACAGAAAATTGTTCCACGCATCAAAAATTATACTCAAAAAGGAAAAAAAAAATTCTCAAAAAAAAAAATTTTTCAAAAAATTAATTTTACAAAATTACATTTTCAAAAATTTAATATTAGAAAAAAACAATTTTTTTTGCATCACGCCAATAAATGAAGTGAAACGGAAAGAAAAATAAAATGAGGAAAACGGAGTTTCGCAGTTGGATTATTATTTTAATTTTTTTCTTTTTTTTTCTGAAAGAAATATTCAAGTCGATAGTGTAAAAGTGCCTTTTTTTTAAATGAAATAAATAAATAAATAAAAGCGACGACTCACGAGAACGCTTGGTGTAATATTTTTTGTTTTATATATAGAAAAAAAAAAAATGTAAAATTGTTGAGCGTGAACCTTTTTGGGGGTTCCAAATTATTATTATTATTATTATTATTATATATATTATATATTAACAGCGTCATCGACATCTTGTGATCTCTACAAAGACTCACGAAAAAACGCGACTAGACTTAAAAAGAAAAAAACAAAAAAAAATTTTTTGCGAGATGAATCGCTTTTTGATCATCTTTGTTTTTTTTTCTCTTACCGCACACGATGTGTTTTTTTTTTTTTTAAAGACTGGGTGGTTTAACCGTCGAATGAAATTCGATTTTTCCATCTCAACGGATGACACCTGTATATCTCTCGTTCGTGAAACTCACATATATACACATTGTACAATTTTTTTTTTTGTCTTTTTTTTTCCTCGAATATAAATATGTATATCTAAACGAACACTCGCTCATATACACAAAACACAAACATTTTAACCACGTGAATGGTGAGAAACTCGAAAAAAAAAATTTTAATGAGAAAAAAATTAATTTTTTCTTAACTCAAAGCACAAAGAACCCCTGAGAGTTTTAAGCTCCGTTCACGTGGCGTTGTGATTAGATACGGTTATTAGTGTAAATCGATAAAAAACAAAAAAGTATAATTAGTTTATCGCTCTCATACCTGAGTACCTTGAAATAACATAATATATATATATATATTATATACACTGAGATACCCCGATTGCGATCGAGTCTTCCAAAAGATCTCTCGTTCTGTATTTCTTTTTTTTTTTCATTTTTATCATATTTTTTTTTTTTTAAGTTTAAAAAATTTTTAATGTTATAGTTTCCCCGTGACTAACAAACGGCGATATGAAACAAAAAAAAAAAAAAGTAAAATATTTTCGCGTATAAGACCCTTGTATTATATAGCTAATATTTTTATTAAATGTATATTGTATACGTAAAATTTTAATATATTTTCAATAATATAAATGCGCGAAATTAAAAGTTATGAGCGAGCGGCAAAACAGAAAAAATAGAATTTTTTTTTTTTCATGCGTAAATAAATATTTATGTAAACATGAATTATTATATTTGTATTTTTTAGGCAAATATTTTTTTTGGACACAGAAAAAAAAAAGAAAATATTACGCCGAACGTTACCTATGGGACCACTCGGCCAAGCCGAGTCCCTTATATTAATTAAATAAATATACTTTTCAGTTACCGTAACGTGTGAAGCGGGCTTCATTGTTTATTCGTTCGATTGTTGATTCTTATATGTGCGCTAAGTGAGTGAGTGAGATTATACAAATATAAATATAGAGGTCTATATTATTAATATTATTATTGTTATATAAATATATATAAATAAAAAAAAATATATATATATATTTTGCGAATTACAACAAAGACAGCGACTTTTTGTGTGTGGATGAAATTATTTTTTTTTTTTTGTTTTTTTTTTTGGGATATGAGTGGATGCGATTTTAAGAAAAACGTATGCTGTGTATATGAGATTACCTTTCACGGTTGTCAACTTGTCTATGCACAAATATATTTTGATATAAAATTTACCCAATTTTTGTCTTATTATTTCAAAAGAAAAAAAAAACCTTATCATTTTTCTTACAGATTTGCAGTTATTCATTTGCGCTTAATCTTTTATTTTTTCTCATCGATATTAATTATGATTTTATATTATTTCGTTATTTTTTATTTTTAATTAATTAGTATATATTAATTTTTATATTAAATTAGTAGTTATTTATTTTAAACAAATTTATATTTACTATTCTAATACTAATATATTAATTAGTATTTGTATATTTTCTACTTACTATACTTCAATATACAACTACTTTTTAAAATTTTATTTGAAAAGAATTTTTTTTTTATGCTCTAATATGAAGGATCGTAAATAGGTAATTATTAAAAATTTCTTTATATCTGTAAAATAAATTAATAAAATATTATAAGTTATTCTATGCTATAAGTTTTATCTTCAATAATAATTGTGCCACTAATGACCTATACAAAGAAATACTTTTTGACACTTTAAACTGATTATATACATATATATATCACTTGATAACATTTGAGGAGCTGTGTCAAAGAACTTGCTTGATTACACTTAAGCCATCAGTCAAACGGCTCAAAAAGTGAATAAAATTAAAATTCAAAATTTTGCTTTTAGGAATTTGTAATTTAACACAATTTGTAATTTTTATTTTAATAAAATGGAAAATATCTATCACTTTCATCTAAAAAATATTTAACTAAAAATTATTTTTGTTTTAAATTTAAAAGTTAGTTTAGAATGGACGCATGTAAATTTCCACTGGAATTCTAGTAGAACGTCCGAAATATGTTATAGCCTTATTTTTTTTATACCTGCCTCACTCTGCTTTTCTCTATTCTATAGTTCCCAGCCATGTATCGAAAAAAGCTACCATTCCCTGTAATGTTTCACAATTCAGATGTTTCACTGATTATTATTTTCTATTTATTGGGTGTTTTCGGCATTCACTCAGAGTTAACTCTAGAGTTAACAGTGGTGCTCAATGATATTATCTTTGAAAATTTATTTACCTAAATAAAATAATTGATTTTCTATTTTCATCACCCTGAGTTTGAAGTTAGTTGTCCTTGTTTGCTTACTTTTTTTTAATTTATACGTATTTTTTGTTTTTCATTTAAAAATGGAACATATTTTTGCTACCCATAAACGTGTTATTTTTTTAAAGTTTATAATTTTCAAATTTTTCATTATTTCCCTAACTTTAATTAATCTGATTTGTTTTAGAAACTAGATTATTTATTTTAATTAAAGTTGTTTTTTATAAATAAAAAGTTAAAATAATTTTTAATAAAAATAAATTATTATGTTTCAATTTACACTTTTCAAAACAAACAATCCGTTCACAAATTTTGTCGGCCATTAAAGGTTAGGACTGACCCTTTTTCTTTACTCTCGCAAGAAAACAGAGTTAACTCTGGGTCATCTAGTAATAAATTTTTGGGGACTTTTATGAAATCTAGAAACAAGAAATTTTATTTTAACATTACATTACTAGAATAAAAGGCCCGTTTCACATGTTGTTACAATTGCAAACCCTGCGCCAATCAAAATGAATCGTCTATGCCAAATTGCCAATCAACAACGTTCACAACCAACAGACGAACTGAAAATCAAAATTTACATTTGAGCACCACTGCTAACTCTAGAGTTAACTCTGAGTGAATGCCGAAAACCCCCTAAGTCAATAAGATTTTTACATAATTCTTAACCTAAAAAATTATTTTTCGTCTATCGTTTAGAGATAATTTTAAGCTAAAATTTATTTTGTGTGTATATTAAATATACTGTATTTTCATCCAAAGCGCACAATATAATACAAATAAAATAATGCACTAGAACTTATGTTCGAATGAAATGAATCAGTTTGTGCAGAAACAATACAAGTTTATTTTCTTCGAAAATTACTTTTTTGTTTGAAATTATGCTATTTCAGTATACTTTTTGATACAGTTGACACAAAATGTTATATATGTTTACATTTTCTTCAATATTTAACTTTCTAGAAAACTAACCTCAAAAAATTTGGCTTTATTGATTACAAATTTTAAATAAATATGAAGAAATTGTTAAATAATTATATTTTAAAAGCAACTTTTTTTGTACATTAAATCTGAATAATAAAATTTATGATAATATTAATAAATATATTACTTACGAAGTAGTTTAAATATTTTTTATTTTATTAAAAGGTGTCGTTCACTGTTTTCATACTAATACATTTTTAAATTAATATTGTGAACTCTTATTAAAGTGTTTTTTAATTTTAAACTTATGTAAAATATAAATTTTAACCCAAATCTTTTATTTGAAATTTATTTTATAACTAAATCTTTAATAAATTCCGTTAAAATGTCATTTAAAGTTACCCTAATTTTTCACTTTTTTTTATATATTGCAATACTGTCAAAAATTAAAAAAAATTTGAGGAAAATTTTAAATTTACATAAAATGATTATTTTGCAATTTTATAATTTTAATTTAAGACCAAAAAATTTTAAAAAAAAATCTTAACGGTATTTCATAACTTTTTAATAACATTTAATGAATCAACTTCATTTTTCTTGGATATATTTTAATTATTTATTTTTAGTAGAGTAAGTGCACCAATTACGGCGCGTTCATAAAAAATAACTATTATTACTATTATATTTAATATAACTGTTGCAAAATGATTAAAAAAAATTATTTTAATCTTTTTTTGATACAATCACTAATAAAGATGCACTTTTAAACAATTATTAATTTAATTATTTGAGATAAAATTTCTTCTCTCGCCGTAATTGAAACATTTTTAAGATTTCCATTGGCTTCAATTATGGTGGGGAATAGTATTTTTAAAATACACGTAATTTTGGTTACCGTAATTGATACACCGAAACTGATACAAACGCGCCGTAATAGAAAATTACGGTACATATTAGTTTTAATTTCTCATATTTGTTTAAATAATCGATTTTTATAAAGTTAAAATTTTTTTAATACCTAAATAACATAAGCTTTTAGTTTAATAAGTTTTAAATTGACTTTATACAATAGAAATGTCGAATTTTCCATTTTAAAGGTGATTTGACTCGAATCGCGCCGTAATTAGTACATTTACCCTATATTAAAACCTAATTTCATTGATTAATTATTTATAAAGAAATTTAAAAAAAACAAAATTTTTTTAAACAAAAAAAATGTTCAAATTTTCTCATTTTTAAAAATTTTGAAAAATCTTATTTTAAATTATCATCTTCATTATTCTTAAATATTTTAATTAACTCTGATGTACAATAAATAATGTTAAGAAAATTCTGTTAATATATAAGAATAAAAGATTACAATTAGTGAGACATGAGTGAAAAATTTCTGATAGAATATATTTATAGAAAAGATTATTGTGCAGGATGACGAGGAATCTTGGGAAGAAAGGATTATACGTATATGATAAGGGTAAGATGTGTGACGTGAATTTGATTGATGAGATTGATAGAGCGAAGAACGTCTTTTTTTTACGTACATTAAACTCAATTGAACTGCAATTATCAACATAATGTTCGATTACAAATGCATCTTGAATGAGATGTATATATAATTTGCAATTATTCTGCATTTCAATTTGCTTTCAATTAATGAGTTAAATGTCCTTCTGTGATTCATAAAACGCAAATGCGCGACGTAATTTTTTTTCTTTTTTATTATATACAAACAGATATACAATATATATGGGGCATTCTTCTCAAACGTTCCATAAGTCAAAAATTAAATTATTTATAATTCATATTGCATTATATTTATATTAAGAAAAATTAATGAAAATGTTTTAAAAATTAAAATTAACTTTCCATGCGTAAAAATTTTCATTTTCAACAATGTGTATTACATATAATTATTTTTTACACGAATTTTTATTTTTCGAATTAAAATTTGTCAGAATTTTTCTTTTTTAAAGAATTTTTAATTAACAGAATTTTTAGGCATCGAATTTTTATTTCGTAAAATTCTTAAAACGACGAATTTTCATTTCCCACTTGGAAAGATTCCCCGGAAAGTGCCCCCTGGAGGTTCTATCAGAATTCCGCCGGAACTTCCAAAGTAATTCCGTCGGAATTCCATCGGAGTTCGAAAGAATTTCCGATGGGATTCGGACGGAATTAGGACTCTAAAAATTTTGAAAAAAATTAATCGGAATTCCGTCGGAATCCCATTGGAAATTCTTTAGAACTCCGATGGAATTCCGACGGAATTACGTTGGAAGTTCCGGCGGAATTCTGATAGAACCTCCAGGGGGCACTTTCAGGGGAATCTTTCCAAGTGGATTGTCCGAAATTGTAAATGGCCGAAAAAACAATCGACAGAAAAATTTCGGCGCGATTTTTAAAATCCACCAATCACGATTGTTATTTTATAACTTTTGATTGGTTTTTGTTACTTTTGTTACCATTATTATTGTACAAAATGAAATAGAATGAAATGAATGAAGTCTTTAAAATAATAGAAATACTCAGAAAACAGAAATAGAATTTTTTCTTAATAATTGAAAAATTTTTTTAATTTTATTATTTTATGACTTTCGAGGGAAATGGAAAATTAAAATTAGATTTTGTTGTCGTAATGTCATAAATCGGCAGTGAGTCACGAGATAAGTTTGTTGTTAGTCAGATAAATAGATTAACACCATTGTGGTGAAGGTAATTCCACATGCGGAACAGGATATATATGCTAAATACAACATATACATATGATTTTTCTAAGCATATATTTTTTCTATTGATAAAATAATAAAAAGTCAATAAAATTCCAAATTTATTCATTTTCGTACATAATCTGATTTATTATTTTCGTTAAGTATTAAAATTTTTTTCAACATCCGACAAAAAAGATTTCTATATAAAAAAAAACATCGAAAAACATGATGTATCTTTTTAAAATGAGAATATTACACTTTAAAGTAAAAAAATTTTTGAAATTTTTATAACCTCCAAAAGCATTAAAAAAAATATTCTTCATTTAAGAGG